AAAAAAAAAAAAAAAAACAATCAAAAACTGTGCCTTTGGCACAGAAGAAAATTTAGCCGGTTGGACGTCGAAATCAGTTGGAAGGTGCTGAATTGCTACGAAAAATTAATTGCAAAAATATAAAAAAAATAAATGTTGGTAGAGGAAGGAAAGGATAGAGAAAGTATGGAATATGTTTTTTTCGCTCCGACTTGGATGTGAGTAAATACTATTGCGCAACAATATGAATACCGCAGACCAGTTTAAAATCGAACATGTGCTTCTGCACCAGTTCTTGCCAAAAGCAAAGCACAAAAATTAATTCCTGGCAAAATTTGCAAAATATCCATGTCATCCCAACAGCTGCGTCTGGTTCTTTCCGCGCTAGTTGTCAGAATCAAACGCATTCCCATACACATTTCACTCCCTGTGAGAAGCAGAAGCAAAAAAAGTGTTGAATGTGGTTCCCTAGCATGCTAATACTAATTCACCATTGAAATAAATTAAGGCAGCATAAGCGTTTTGCGTTTTTCGAGTAAGAGTTTTCGTCCTGGGTACAGCACTGTTCGCCCCTATGATAAGTTTACCATCAGTGCTTTTCAGCGCTTTTGAAATAATTTTTCTAGTAGCAAAAATAATTTTTCTAATTGAAAAACTCACACCAAACATCTAATCGAATTTCATGTTGTTCAACAACTGTAGCATCGTACTGGACGTATTCCTGCACAGCCAGGCATTTAATAATAACGTCCTGATAGTCAGCAGTCAGATTCTTCACCGTGATTTCTGGTCCAGCCACAATGAACATACTTTCTGTAGTATCAAACAGTTCAGAAAACGAGTGCTGTGTATTCAGGAAAGGAAAATCGAGAGAGAGTTGAAAAGGATTCTTAAATCTGAACGAAATCCGTTTTTTTGCTAAACTGTTGAAAGATTATATTAATGACCATCAGCAAACTACTACTTTGCACTGCCACACTTTTAGCGGCTGGAGCTTTTCGAATTATAAAACTGTGGAATACAACGTTTCATTCACCGGAAGTAAAAAAATCATACTCATTGTCCTTCATTTCTTATGCTATCCCAACTTCTTGGTACAGAAAACGTAGAGACAGTCTGATTTCTGAGAAAAATTCGGGACAATTAGAAATTTAAAAAAAAACAAAAACTCAAATTCAAATCTAAAGCACTGGAAATTTGCCCAGTGAGGCTTTCAAACCCAGCAATTTAAACTTGAACTAAAAACCTTACAATATGAATTAAATCAATACCCCAAAGCTTCAAATACGCAAGTTTTCTGGCTTTTGAGTTTCAACATTAGCTTGAGTTACAAATTAGGATATGAAAAATTTAGTTAATTGATTGCCGTTTGTTTCGTTGCTTTTGATTTCTTACTTCACGTAGTCTTATAAATGGATTTTTTAGGCGAAGATACACAAATTCTGGTCTTCGCAAAAACGCAGAAAGATGGGATACCATTTAACGGTTGTCCATCACGACTAGTGATATGTGTTTCCGGCCTTGGATCTCCAGTTGCTCCACAGTCGATGGTTAGCGATTCTCCAGCCATTGCTCCAACAACATCACTGCTTTCCTTCCATCGAATTCTGTCTCAAAGTGGCATTGCTATTAAACGAAACACAGCTAGCAGAGAGGTAAAAATTTGAAATTCAGCAACCAGTGCACCAAAACCTCCTAGCTTTCAATAATTGTGATTTTTTTCTTGCATACATGCAAATGAAACACGCATACTGTAACGATCCATGGTACATGTGTATACGTTTGTATGTGTGGGTGTGTATGCGCGTGTGTATGTACGTGTGTATATGCGTGTGTGTGTGTGTGTGTCTATCCAGGTATTTCAGCTCGACAACCAAGCAAGCTTCGACGCTGAAATTTTGCCAGTAGATCCTCCGGCTATGTGTCGCCCTAGGGTCGCGGCCGCGGTACCAACCTTCACTCACGTCTGCGCCCTACGTACAAGCATGTGAAAGTTTTAAAAATTGCTGATCCAGTAACCAGGAAAAGTGGAAGGCCGAAATTTCAAGGAGATGTTATCCGTTTAAGTACAACATAAAGATTTCAAATTCAGCACCCAGGTATGCGCGCACTCGCATACGGGCGTGTGAGAGCTTTGGTAGAAAAACTGCTAACTCGGAAACCAGAAAAGCTGGAAAACTGAAATTTCAAGGCGATGTTCTCCGCCCATGTAGAAGTTAAAGATTTCAAATTCAACTCCCAGATGTACTGGTTCTCACGTGTGGGCATGTAAAAAACTTGCCAGGAAAACTGCTCACTGATGAGCTAGATCATTTTCAAGGACAGTTAAGCGTGAATTGTCTACTTTCCTTCGTATAAAATTTACGATGACAACAATCACTTACCGACAACAATCACTTCTACTTCCCATTCCCCAGTCACCATTTCGGCATTTCTTGCCACGCACTTGTAAAATCCAGCATCACGCTTCGCAATTCGTGTGAATACCAACGATAATTTTTTGTACATCGAGTCGTGTTCTTGCAGTTCCACCGTGAACAAGCTAAAATTACCGGGAAAAAATTGATGCTGCATATTTTCAGCTGTGCTTTTGAATCAAACTACTTTTTACTGGCAGTTCAGTTGGTACTATTAGAAGAATTTTTCTCCTGTAGAAGAATTAGAAAGAAGGTGATCGTCGACGTCTCGCAAAAATCTGAATTCCGGGAAATGAACTATATGTTGATTCATAACGTTATTTGGAAGAGGAACTGCTTTCTCTCTCTTTCTGTTGTTTTCCTTCCCCCCTACTTTTAAGCCTATCGATGAAGCAAATGGGCACTTGGACTTGAAATGACCATCATAAATTCGAAAACAAACAGACATTTATATTGCTTATAAGTTCAGCGTAAAAACTCGAAGTTCAAATAAGAAACAATGCAAAGTTCAGGGAATGGTCCCGATCGTATGATAAACGAAAACCAATAATCAGATTTTGGGTCGTCCTGAGGCCAACCGCTTACAGCAAACCTAAATTTAGACACGCTTGAGAGCTCAAGAGCTAAAACGGTAGAAGTTCGAAATTTTGAGGAACAAAGTTTATGAGGGCGTATGAGGCCAAAAAGCTAACCCAACCTCTAGGTTATTTTATGCCCTAACACTTGATTTCAAGTGCAAATCAAATTTCTACAATATGAGATGTGAAATTTCGAAGAAATATTTTTGACTATCCACTTTTTAATTTTCTTTTTTCAAATTTGGGGACCCTAGCAGTTGATTTACCTTTGCTTCATACCTGCTGGATGATTCGCCATCTATTTTACGATCGAATTCATTTCTCCAAGTGAGATACATGCAGTCTGTGGTTGCCTTCTGACATATACAGGATATACGAAATTTGCGATCACTTCGAACCACATAACGACTGTTGTTGAGGGTTGGCGGCTCGAGGCGCAATAAATTTGAATAGCGCACATTTGTCGCCTCACCTAAATGTATTAGTAGAGTACTTCTTTTCGCCTAAACATGAAGCGTTTTTTTTTTGCTGTGTGTCTTCAGAAACCCCCAGGAGCTTCCGGTTCGGTTCTGGGAAATCGGATTCAGTTCCGACTTGATGTGATAATTCTGTTTTGGATAATATGCCACTGCTCGACACCACCGCCAATTTTCCTGTTTCTTTTGACCTATGGTCTTGTTTTCATTTCATAAATTCGCGCATATTATTATCAATACAACATATGTACAGAAACCCAATCAAAAGCTCTACGGCGCCAAAGTAAAGCTTTTGCTTTTGGTATAGCTGTGCGTTGCACCTAACAATGCACTTCGGGTAAGTTTGAAAAGTTGAAAAATCTGTTATTTAAAATACGTGATTTACTTCGGAAGCCATGAAGTCAAGATTTTAAAGAAGCACTTTTCCTAAACAAACCTGGAATTAACTACAAAGTATTCCTGCCTTTGATGTTTAATGCAAAATCCAACTACTATGATAACTCGAAAATGAGTAGCTATTACTATAACTTGTAAATTAGGGTGCGATATTTCGTTACATCTTTTTTTTTTTTCTTTTTTTTTGAGTATACGTAATTTGTTTCTGCATTCTCAACAAGAAATGCTCCAGAAGATAATTTTTATGCGTTTTTTGCAGCAATGCAATGCGAAAAACGCATATTGACGAGAGGTTGTCTGT